ATCCCCAATCCTTTCTTAACTTCTGTGAAACATTTAGAAGTCTATAAAACTTGAATAACCCTATGATATAATATTGTTACTTTTTTATTGAGCAAAATATCTTTTTTTAATAAACAGTCCTCCCAATATGTAACATACACCCCCTTTCAAAAACAATTTAAGGATACATGTTGCTACCCACAAAATTGACACAGGGATTATTGGAAATGGAGATGGATGTTAAATTCGTTAAATGTGAAAGATGAGATATTTCATTAAGATCTGCAATGTTATTCGAAGCTAATGTTAATGTTACTAAACTAGTTGGAAGGAAGCGATCACACTGATGTAAATGACCTATTTTATTCCCATGCAGGTATAATTCCTGAAATCTAATTGTGTTAGAAACAAATAAATTGGTTATTTCAATTGTTACAAAATTGGCTTATTTAATCTACTAAGCCATATATACTTCACGAAAAAAGTTTGGGATGATTATGAAACGGAAACGCAAAAAGGGGAGACGTGGAAAGATGCGAGAATTTTAGCAATTAATTTAACTGCCGTTGCGTCAAATATTTTAACTAGAATTGTACAGAGAATAATAATAATAAGAGTGGAGAAATATTAGGGAAGACCAATTTGGAATTAGAAGAAATAAGGGTCTAAAATCAGCAACATGGGAACAGCTAAAAGCTAAGCTTGTTTAGGGGTTTTCTAAAAGAAAATCAAACTTCTAAAATCCAAAGATACTATTTCCTTTATAAAGTAATTGGTAATAACGATTTTTATGAGTCAATTAACCTAATGGACATAGTGACCATAAAGTTTTGGTTTTTGAATTGTTTCACTTTGAACAATTACAGAAGTCATCAGCTCATGTTACTCTGAAGATGTCCCATGTTACCCAGGATTCAATGTAGGTAATAAAACAACAAACCCAGAACCAAACTTTCACAGTCAATAAATAACAGCAGAAGCCTACAAAATATCATATGATTAGATTAGCAAACCTACTGTTTGTTTGCTGATCTCTCAGCTGCTGTTGATGATGTTGTGCTTTGCTAAGAATCAGTTTTAGCTTGCGATCTTCTTCGGTCTCTAGAGCCTCACCTGTCAAAGGACAAACAGTTGCAAGATACTGACTTAATTCTTTCTGCTCGCCCACTCTAAAATGTCTACCCCGGCCTTGAGAATATAACCACTCTGCTCTAAGGCTATTAAATAGAAAAAAAAAGTAACTTTATTAGAAAAACTAAACAACTACCAAATAAAACAGCAAAACCACATATTTCTAAGCACTATTATTTATGAGATGAAAACACCAAGACTTATAAATACCGAGTAATATTAAATTAACATTTTTTAAATGAACTGATAAAAATACGCTAGAAGAAATTCTTGCATTGTTTGAAAAAAACTTACATATAAAACACTAAGTCAATTTACAAACGAATGGTAGAAAACATTCATATTAAATGGATTAAATAAAATAAACTTAAAATGTTTGAACAATATTAATTGTGTTTCATTTTCAACAACAGTAAGTACTTGTTGTATTTATTGCATATTTATTCAACATGTTTCAACAAACGGTCACTATTGATAATTTGAATTAAATGTATATTATTAAAAAAATGTTCAAACAAAACATAAGAAATGTAATTTTCTTTCATGAACATAAATTTAAATTCTTTTAATTTAAAAAGAACATATTGTACAGAACGAACAAATGACTTTTTTGAAATTCAAATGAAGAAGAAATTCATGCATACTAAAATTTGAAGCATAGTTTGCGTTTTTGTTAAAAATTTAAGCGCTTTTCAGAGAAACTAATGTTTAACTGCATAGGGCTAGATAAAAAAAGGAGAAATGTACCCTTACCTTTCAATGGCNGTTAATATGCTACATCATAGTTATTTTACATGTTCACTAGTTCCAGTGAGGCATAAAATTAAACATAAACAGTAGATAATCTCATTATTAAAATCCAAAATTAGTTGTTGTAATGAAAATTTTAAAGTCTAATTGATTTGATTTGCTCTTGTATACACAGTAAAAAAAATAACAAAATTGAACTGTTCACAAAGTCAAATAGAAATCCAAATTGAATATGTAAAACTCAAAATGATAATAATGGAACAAAATAGTGCCTGTTAACATAGTTTTCTATGTTCACAATAAAAGCTGTAGAGTTAAATAGTCCACCTTTCGATACTTAAATTCAGAAATTTTAGTTTGTTTAAACTTTGACAAAATTTTCAAGGTAATTAGATGACTTTGTTATTTTTGTCAGTGAATAACAACATTAACAGGTAGGTAATACATGAATCAGTTTTATAGCTAACAAATATTCATTATGATTATAAATATTTTGTAATGGTGATGTATCTATCGTGTAGTTTTAATATTTCCAGTAACATTATAAAACGAAATTTCAATGAAAAAAATTTTTTGTATTTATAAATAACATTTCGATTAGAAAATAATTGCGAACCATATGTACTCTTGCGTATTCATCAATATGTATGTTGGGTAGGTTTTTTTAACTGCATATTGTGGTAATGAAAAAATATTTGAATTTAAAATTAACTTTGAAAGTCTATTTGAAAAAAATGTTAATTAAATCATATATAATTAAGGTATAACTGAGTGGCAACAAAATTACAATTCTTGCAGCTTAGACACACAAATTTCTG